AAGTAAGAAAAATGATACGGGTTAACTTTTCATATCCTCGTTATAGTATTGTGAGATGATTTTTATTAGAATAGGAATAGCTCTGGCATAACGTTGTACAGGCACGTTCAGCACTTAGGGGAATTATGCGAAAATAGGCCACATTTTTTCTATAATTTTCATATATCTCCGTTGTCATATTCCATTCATTTATTGGTGATTACTCACTCATAATATAAATCTATCTTTCTTCAATATCATAAAGTAAAATTACATTGCCTTACTGCCATTACTGTTTAGCAACCGGCCAATGAGTCTTTTCTTATTTCGTATTTTCATATATAGAAATTGATAAATGAATAATTAAATAAAAATGTGAGAAAATAAAGAAATCCCAGCCAACTTTTGCATCTCAAAATATGTGGAAAGGAGAGAGAAAGTAAGAAGAAAAAGCTTCAAGTTTCTGTCACTATTTAAAGCCCAGTTTCCATTAAATCTTTTGTCTCTTATTATCAAATCACCTTTTAGAAATCCAATTGTATATACAATTTACCCAGTCTACCCGTTGTTGCATTGTATGATCAAGTCTCGCATAAATAGATATTTGATGTGTGATCGAACATCTCTGTTTCCAATATCATGTTTTCTCATTTTTAACAATTAACACATTACACTTAATAATCTGTAATTCAGAGGATCTTTGTTTATCGCCACTCTTCATATTCGCCAACTTCCATGCCTCCTGTACTTTTCCGTTCTTCACTGTATTCTAAAACACCTTCCAGCTGTCTTTTTTAACCCCTCCCTCTACACCGTGCTTACTAACACCCCATTCTGAACGCAGGAGAGATGCGGGCGGCCATTCAGCAAAGTGAGTACAGTAACGCCCAGACTGTGAGTCATGGCTCCTCGCGCTTCCTCGCTCTCATCTTCGTGGGAGTTTATACTTGGCACCGATATGTGGTCCCGCTTTCCTAACTCTGGCGCTAACATTATTGGTGGTATGTTGAAATAAGAATAGTGTCGATTTGTGGTACTTGCGTAAATCTGCATACAGTACTGACTGAACTTGAAGGCCGTGGTGGCAGTGGTACACCCTATGGCTCTGAGACGATACTCCTTGTACAGTAGGTCTATACCTTTGAAAAGCCCAATACACCAAGTTGGTTTATTGAAGGTGAGACTGTATAATGTATAACGTAATATTTGTCGTACTGATAAAAAGGTGAAGTTTATGTCTACTTATGATAATGGTGTAAATGGTATATTTGCAAAACAACGCCAAAACAATAATACCTGTTGAATTCATTGATAATATTAAAAACTGATTTCACGCTTTACGGGACATACCTGAAGAACACTTACTCAACACACACCATACACACACTTGCTACATTCACACTACAATAATGATTAAATATATAAAGAGTATATGACTGAGCATAATGCTTGTAGCTGAAGAAATAATATTCAGCACATCCACATTTCAAGAAGTGATGTAACAGGTTTCCCTGATGCATAATGACTATTCTACTTTGATGTCTCTTAGTTTTCTTAATGGATTCTAATGTACAAATTGGAAAATATATCTTTGATGTTGATTTGTTTGTTTTCTTTCCGATAATTTATCTTCTGGATTCCTATTTGCCACTGGGTATCGTCCTTGTAGTTATAGTAATTACAAAGTTACAAAGAAAAATGATTTTGCTAAACATCAAAGGTCATATAGCTTTATAAAAAGATGTAGTAGTGAAAAGGGTAAATACGGGGGGAGGGATTAGCTGATGATTAAATGTGCTGCACGCCAGAAGCCCTATGGTAGTTCAGGAAAGTATGGCATTGGAAGGGGCAAAGAGGGGTGAAGGTACAGAGGGTGAGTAAATGGGTTAAGGTAGTGATTAACAAGGGAGATCAAATAAAAGTTGTCAAAGAGGGGAGTGTGGGATTCTGCAAGGATGTCCGTGAGGTAAGGTAAGGATTAGCAAAAGGTGAAAGGGGGTTTAAGGACGAGTAGATCAGGAAATCCGGGAAAGAATCCAGGAAAGGGGTTATTGTGACAAAGAGTCGCATATGTATCCTGGGAGAAGCGGAAGAGATAATGGGGAGGGAAGGGGGGTGAACATATAAAGAACAGGGGAATGAGAGGTGTTGAGAGGGAGGAATAGTTAAAGGGGGGTGTGTAAACATCTTGGGAGGAAGGGGGAGGGGTGAAGTGAAGGTCAGCACTGGATTGCAGAGTAAGAGAAAAATCTCGTCGACGCGCTTCCTCTCTGGCCTCGCATAAAGTAAAGCCAAGTTTGAAGTGGATAATTGCCACCTTTGACTCAAACATGTAAGTAAGGCAGCCCCTATAAAATACATTATGGGCGCCACCACAATTGACATGGGCGTGAATGCGCAGAGCCGTTAGATCATGACCAGATTGGGTACATAGAGGGCACCGGGCTGTTGAGCGGCAGTGTTTGGCAAAGTGACCTAGTTGCCAAATGTTCCTGGAGGTTGAGTAATGACTTTGGTTGATGATTTGGACTGGACTGAGGTGACAGTAGGTATTGAAGAGGGGGTAGTAGTAGTGCTTAGAGTCGTGGTCAAAGGAGAACCTGGGGTAGGGCTAGTTGATGAAGAGAATCCTCATTGCCCTAACATACGTACAAAAATCTTCATCCGTGGCCAAGGTAAGCCTGGAGTATGTTTGGGAAAGAAATGGATCATCCGTCTGGGTCACCGGATAGTCAACTAAACAACGGAATACTATGCCCACACTGTGCACAAACTCTGCCTTTCAGCCTTTCAATACGGTTCTCACATCCGAAGTCGCTAGCAGATGAGGTTGGACAAGAGAAGGAAAATGTTGAGACCGTGAAAATTAGTTGAGTCGAGGGCTGAGGCATCAGTCTCCGTCTCCGAAGGCCCCCAACGGTAACAACGGGCATGGGATTGACAGGGGAGTAAATACATTAATATACATATTTTGCTCAAGAAAATGTGTTGCGTGCATTGTTAGCTGATGCTAAAACCGTAAACTAAATATAAATCTTAATTATGATTTCCTAGACTTGAGGCAGGCTATTCATATGTTAGTTGAATAAATACTGTGGCTTAGAGAACTTCTTTATTCTTCATATTATATTTAATTTACTTAAAAAATGTTTTTTCAACAAAATCATGATGTGTATTTAAATAAAGAAGCGGTAGGTTTGTAATAGAATATTAATTACATATAAAATTTTATTCACTTTCACAAGAAGTACAAAAACAAAAGCAGTAGAAAAATATAAATTTACATGAAACACTGGAGAATGATGGTTGTTATTTTGCTTTTTAACCAAAAATGTAACATTGGACAGAAAAAAGCCATAAATACAAGTGTACTGACAGAAAAAATAAAACAGATCTTTGGCAAACAGTGGCTGCAAACTAATGGAATTAAATCTTTTCCAATTCTTTTGCTTTGTGTTCTTTTCCCTTTTTATACTGAGAAGCTGCAAATACCCTCAGGTTACTTCTAACCTTATATTGGAATTTTAAAAATCCTGGTATAAAACTCTGAACCAAAATAATTCATCTACAGAACTGCCAATTCCAGTATCTTCTTATAGAAAAACTTTTATCTTTAAATGCAGAGGTTCTCTCTTATCTGTAATTACCTCAAGGATGCCCACAGATACATCTTAATGAAACTTATTTGAATATCTTAAGAGAGCAATCTTGACAATACTGAAGATAGTGAAAGACTATATGACCCCACTCAAGCTCCAGCCTCTTGTGCAGTTGCCTGAGCAACAAAGGTCAGTTCACACAAAATTGAGCATGTGGGCTGTTCAGACTGCTTATGTAGGGTTTGTTCCATCAAGCAAAAATATGGTTCAAGTGGGTTTGAGAGGGAGCTGCACACATGCTTAAGCTGACCTTTCAGGTTACCTGCTTTGGAAACTTGACAGGAAGCTTGAGAATGTATAAATGCCCTTAAGAAATGTTGCAGCTTACAGATAAAGGAATCTTTGCTTGATCAGAAAATTTGCTGTTATAAAGAATCACTACATTACAAAAAGGAGAAAAATAAGTAATAAATATGATCTCACTTCCAAACAATAATGTTTTGTAAGTAAGCATGCATGCCTCTAAAATGGCACAATTTTTTCACTGGGTTGATAATGAATGATGAAAAGTTTTCAATGAACAATCAACAATATCTTTAATAATATTTACAACCTAATTACAGTACTTGAAAAAAGAAAAAGGTTTAGCACTCTTTTCAGTTGAGATGGGGAAATAGTTAATGATAATTATAAGGACACAGATTTGTATTTACATCTAACAAAGAAAACTTATACAATGACTTCAGTAGGATACCACTACCAACTTAAAGAACTAGACCTTTTTTTCTTAACTTCAAGTACTCATTCACTGGTTATTCATCCTGTCCAACATGAATAACTTTGAAGACACCAGTTAGGTCTTGTTCAGGTACCTCCTTTCCTTCCCTTTTCTGCATCAGGTCACTTCTGTCTAGTAATTGATTTAGCTCTTCCTTTGTAAACACTGAAATGGGAAATGTATAAATAAATATACATGAGGGGAAAAAAGAGAAAAGTGGAAAAAATAACATATACTAGTACTTTCCACTTCAGTCACAGAAATACATGCAAGTGCACTAAACATATCACTATACGGAAAAACAAGGAAGAACATCTAACATATAAATAAATAATATCTAAATGTATTTCAGAGAACTTTTCCAATCATGCTATTTCCTTACCATGGCCTGTATTTGTGCGATGGATTCTTTCATGATCTCTCTGGCTGAGGAGAGTAACAAGCTCATCAGAATCCACGACTTTGTCTAAGGACCTGTCGCTCTGTTTCGAAGCTTTGAATTTTCCTGACTGGATGATCAGTTTCTCTAACTTGCGCTTGGTGGCAGCACGCTCTACAATCCTCTCATCAATGGTCGATGCAGTAATGAGCCGAAGAATCAACACTGGTCGAGTCTGTCCAATCCTATGGCATCTATCCTGTGCCTGCAGGTCAGCTTGTGGGTTCTGCATAAAGTAAATATAACCATATAAAATAATTACCAAGAAATCTCATCAGAGGTAATTAGTCTTGAATATAATTACAGTGAAAAAAGTTAATTGAAAAGCCAATACAAAATTGTAAAGTATTTAGCTACTTACCCAATCTGAGTCATATATGATGACTGTATCAGCAGAAGCTAAATTAATACCTAAACCACCAGCCCTTGTGCTTAGTAAGAATATAAAGCTGTTCGAATCTTTGCTGTTGTATTCTTTGATGTCATTCTGCCGAGTATCTAATGATCTGCTTCCATCAAGGCGCTTATAACTGAAAGTAAATAAGAAAATAATGCATGTCTGTACCACTCAATCCTGTTGACTTGCAGGATCCCATTCTGCTTCATAAAGTCATTATTGACGATGGAAAGCAGGAAAGATCATCAGATATCTTTTACCCATTTTACACCAGTGAAAAGTAATTCAAACTCACTTGTACTTGGGCCTGAGGGAGAGGTAATCTTCAAGGATATCAAGCATCATGGTCATTTGGGAGAAAATGAGCACTCGGTGTTTGCGCTTGTACAATTCTCCCAGCAGTTGGTCAAGTACTTGCAGCTTCCCGCAAGAATCTAGAAGCCCTTCATCAATCTGTTTAATCAGATTAGAGTCACATATTTACACACTGAATTACAACATAAATGTAAATTACTTCAGTGTTTTCACCAGTTACTCACAACCCTTAATAACAAAAATGTTAATGACAAGATTATGATAATGTGTATTAAAAATAAAATATTTTATGAGGTATCAATTTTCTCATTCACTGTAATCAAACTCTTTCAACTCCTGTGTATATTGATCAATAACAATATTAAAAATAATCAATAGGAATCCTGATTTAAAAAGTACTTTCCACCAAAAGCACAACCTATCAAAAGAAGAACAAAAAATTCCTATCCTACTGTAGCAGTTTTTGTATCTTTACTTACCATGTACTCTCCATCTGGAGTTAGTGGCAGTTTCATTTACTTCTCCAAATGCATACACTACTGTAGCAGTTTTTGTATCTTTACTTACCATGTACTCTCCATCTGGAGTTAGTGGGTAGTTGATAAGGTATGGATGATTCACTATTTTACGACACTGCATCATTCTGTTTGTCAGCTTGATATTGACTGCTGATGTCTTCTTAGCTGTAGCTCTGTTAAAGAAAACATCAGTATTTGAAATAAACAAAATAATAATTTTCTTTCAAATCCTTAGTAGAACATTTTGAGAACTATCTATATAAATCTCTGCCAACAAGATACAAAGGCATAAACTCTCAAGCTAAAATATATAAGAGTGTGTGGAAAATGCAAAACTCTAAAGAAACTTACTCATCACTTCCTTTTTCTTGCATCTTCATCACAGCATCCAGAAACCTGTCGAGGGATTTAGGGGATTCACTTTCATCAAGCAGTGCAGAATAGTCTATGTCCTTCTTTGATTTGCGTTTTGGTCTTCCTTTGTTATCATATTCTATTTTCTCCTCTGCCTTCTGAAAATGTAAAGAAAATATTTCATATTATTTTCAAGAATACAATTCTTACAATAAATAATAAAACTATAAATAAATTTGTCACATTCTCCAAAAGCTATCAAACTGGTAAGATCAAACAAAAACTGAATTTAAAATGAGACAGAAAATGTGTCCATAGGTGTTCTAAAAGCTCAGAAGCTGACAAAGACAGTGCCTTAGTGAAGGAAAAAAAATAGTCACCACTATGAAGAATGAAGAGTAAGTTGACTAGGTAGCAGGGAAAGTCCTAGTGTAAGTCACAATTTAAAAAGTATTCCATCAAAAGAGGAAAAACTACTTACCTTTAAATTATCAAAGACAGTATAGTCCATAGTCAGAGTAGCCTCATAAAGCTTCAGCTGCAGGGGGGTCATGGGTGTGTACACAAGTAATTCTTTCTTGGGAGGAATCTCAAGATTGACATCTTTCTTCATGCGTCGCAGGAAGAAGGGACTGAGAATCTGTAAAGGAATATCAAACCCTCATGAAGATCATCCCAAACATGCTCATGGCCTCAAATATGTCTTGTTTCTTTTGCCTGGTATGTCAACTGCACTTTCACATACCTTTTGGAGTGTTCCTATGACCTGCTTCTCTCTCTCCTGCTGGATGATCTTTTCATCACTGCCATCCTCCATCATCTCTGTTACATCAAACCAGGACTCAAAGACATCCAGAGAGTCAAAGATCTCAGGCATGAGGAAATTCAAGAGGGACCACAGCTCTGCAAGGTTGTTTTGCAAGGGTGTGCCAGTCAAGAGAAGACGGTTTGCTGATGGGAAAGTGTTCAGGGACCTGTAGAAGTATAAAAAATATATGTTATTTAATTTCATTGAACACATATGCACAGTTATTACTAATGGCTTCATATTTTAAAAAATAATAATTCAAAACCATAAATAATAATAACCATAATAATCAGTGATCTCAGAATCTTCATTTTTTTTATCATTCATTGGTAAATAAGACTAAAGGGCCACAACTTGAGGGCAGAAAAAAACTGACACCCACTAGCCTTCCTTATTAGAAATAATTCCTTATTGAAATAATAATTCCTGTAGAAAACTGAATATCCACTGCAAATAATACTCACTTTGTAAGTCTACAATTGTGGTTCTTTATCCTGTGCCCTTCATCTACACATATGTAGCGCCAGTAATACCTTGCAAGGAACCGCGTATCACGGATCACCACCTGAAAATTAATTACTTCTATTAAACGCATTAAAAATCATTTAACATGCTCTGTATTTACACTCTCAGCAGAAGAACTATATATCAGACAAAAAAAAATTAACCAGATCATATTTATTTTCCTCACCTCATAAGATGTAATAACAACAGGAAAGACTGGCACTGAGGTTCCTTCCACTTGTAACAACTTCTGGAACATTTTCCTTTTCTCTGTCCTGACAGCATCAGAGCCATGGTACAATACAGTTGGTACCTGTTAATTAGAATTTAATATTTTCACCAATCAAATATCAGTAGGTGACAATGATAAGAACTGCAGATTTAGCATATCACTGTATTATGACGAAAAGCTACAAATTGACAAGTGGTGAAACTTTAGCGTTGAAGACTTAGAAAATTATCTCATAATAAAAACTGGAATTCAACTGTGAAAAACTCACCTTTGGTGCAAATCTTTCAAATTCTGACATCCAATTTGGGAGTGTAGATAGAGGCGCCACCACGAGGAAAGGACCCTGCACACCCCTATCTATGAGGTGGCACAGGAGGGCAATGGACTGGATGGTTTTGCCAAGACCCATCTCATCTCCCAAGATTCCATTGACACCATTTTCATAAAGTACCTGACGAGTATAGAAATATTCATACAGATGTAACAAGATTAATATCAAAATGAACATATAATATATTTCTGATTTTACATTACCATCAGCAGTATTAGATCAGAACAAACTGACAGAGCAAAACTTACCCTGAGCCAGGAAAATCCGTCCAGCTGATATGACCTCATAGTTCCATTCTCAAAGAGTCGAGGTTGATCCACCTGCTCAACCACTTCATCCTCCTCAGAATAAACACCAGCTTCAACTTTTGCTTCCACCGTCTGTTAATAAATAAAAAAAATGTTGAAATTAAAAAAATAAAGAGTAAAACAGCAAAAATGAAAAAAATTATGACAAGCTGCATATTATAATACTATTAAAAGTAAAAGTAATAGTGATAATTATATTTAAAGTAGTAGTGAAGATGAAGATGAAGGTGAAGGTGAAGGTGAAGGTGAAGGTGAAGGTGAAGGTGAAGGTGAAGGTGAAGGTGAAGGTGAAGGTGAAGGTGAAGTGAAGGTGATGAAGATGAAGATGAAGATGAAGATGAAGATGAAGATGAAGATGAAGATGAAGATGAAGATGAAGATGAAGATGAAGATGAAGATGAAGATGAAGATGAAGATGATGAAGATGAAGATGATGAAGATGAAGATGAAGATGATGATGATGATGATGATGATGATGATGATGATGATGATGATGATGATGATGATGATGATATCAGTAATAGTAACAGTAATAATAAGAGTAATATCAATAACAATTTCAATAATATCAGTAATAACATTAATAGTAATATCAATAATAAAGAGATGATACTAGATGCAATTTCTTTTTCATTGTAAATACCAAGAGCATAGCAACTAACCTCTTTATCTATAACATCCTTAATCTTGTACTTCCCATCCTTGACTCTCTTAGCAGCTGGTGCACCTGAATTGTTCTTGCGCTTGCGGCCTTTACTTGAATCACTCTTCTCTGAACCCTGGGAGTTCTCTGTTGAGACGATTACAGTCATCAAAAAAGAACTTATATCTTAAGTATAAAGGTATTCATCGCATAGACAATAAATTGAATATAAAACACTTCCTCTTTTCTATTAAACAAGGAATCAGATAAAACGGGCATGATGCAAAAGGCCAAAAGGTCGTATATATAACAGGAAAATAGGTCTACTTACCTTCAGTGCTAGCATTCTCTTTCTCTGCACTGGTTTCAGCCTTGGGTCTGAAAAGAAAAGAAATTCTTTAGTCTCTTTCTAATGGCACTAAGGTTGGTGAAGTCTGACCTGGAAGAAATGGTTATGCATGAGATTATGTGAACAGTATGGACTTGTGCTGAGGACAAGGCAGATTTTGAACTGGCAAAGTTATTCTTATCACCAGCTGAAACAAGAAAAAACTAAGTATCACTACACCATCAGTAAAACAAATCAATAGCACGTCTAACACCTACATTACCATAAACATAATTATGCTAATGACAACCATGAAATTTCAAGAACTATATACACATCTTAAATCAGAAATATGTAAAATAAACACTTACTTTTTGCCCTTCTGTTTCTTGGTATCCTGAGTTTCAATTTGCTGAAGGAGGAACTGGCTATAAAACTGAGACTTATTGAGCAGATGCATCAGTCTCTTGTACCTGCAGAGACATTACAGCAGTTACAAATCATATTCAATGCAATCACTTGAACAACGCTAATCACTCTATGGAATCTCGTAAGTAATACCGCTTTCGATATGGAATAGTGTGAGATAGGAGTCTCTCCAATGTTAAAAAAGTTAAAAATCAACCAAAACTTTATGAAAATACCCTTGAAGTGAGGCTAGCAATTAATTCTAATACATAATCATAATCAAGAAGAAAATCAAGTATATACGTATGCAAGACCATTAATAAAGTCATGTATGCTTTGATTATCAAATAGCACAGACTAAAACTGAACATATAATTAATAAATGAAATGCAAAATCTTAAATAATTCCACAACCAGTACCTCTTTTCCTTTAACTCTTCCTCTTCCTTTGCCCTGTCTTGTACTTCCTTGCGCCAGGCTTTTTCTTGCTCATCGTTGGCCAATTCTAACTTTTCTTCTTCAGCAATAATATCTGTGGTCAGCACATCATCTTCAAGGCCTGCAGATTTATTTGAAACATGCATGAGACACTCTGATAAAAGAAAAAATGGGGGGGGGGGAAATCTCTCTTCCTTTCTTTATTTTTTCTACAGACCCTGTTACTATTTACATTTTCTAACAATTACTAACTTACTTCTACATCTCTTTCCAATAATCAATCACACACCAACACCCACACAAAATATTTTCCTTGAACCACATTCTTTATCTGTCATATTTCTTACTTTTGGATTCGGTGTCAGGAGAAGCTGTGCGAGAGAGCCCATGAGCCTTTTCCTCGGGCATCTCAGGTGAGCCCTCTGGCCGGCTTGGGGAAAAGGTCAAGACGCTGCTTGAACTTTCTGCCCAGAGAGAAAAAAAAAATACAGCGATTTGTTGGTCAAGTGTGAAATTAAATTATTGAAATCACTTTACACTGATGACTGTATTTCAAAGAGTTATGAAAATAATGATATATGTAAAACCTGTTGATGCTGATAATTAATAAAGTCTAAAGTTTGTTTATAGGCCTACCAAAAAAAAAAAAAAAAGTCACATTAACAACACATTTCTCTTACTTCCATTAGTTATTTTCTATTGTTTATTTCTATTTCATATGCGTTAACTCATCAAAATCTCCATCATGATCATACATATATAGGAAAATATGTACCTGAACTGGCTTTGCTATCATTGGAGAATTCCTCTTCAATATCATCTCGATTTGTGGGTGGCATTTCAAAATCTGGAAAAGGGAGAATAAAATACAATGACAATAGTTCCATGCCTCAACATCATCCAGACAATAAGCTAAGTATTTTTAACATAAATCATCATCTTAATGTCGTATTTGCTCTTGTCTACCACTGGCCTATGTGTTTTTGGTGCAGCAGCAAAGGCCAATAAATCTCCACCACATGTTCTGACAAGATTGAGGTGACAGACTGCCCTAATTTCAATAATCATATGAGGAACTATCATGTTTGGCTCAGAAAACTGGGATTCTGAAACAGATCACAGCAACTCTCATTTATATATGGATAGAACACAACTAATATAATAATAACTTAGTCCCATTCTACCTTCAAAACCTTTCCCACCTTGAAAATTTTTGATAGTATTGGTCAATCATTACTGTATAGATGCACCAAGGTTGGACAAATTGCAGATAATGTTCTTGTTCAGGCCAAAAGGTTGCAGTTGTAGGTACAAGAAATAAAATGCAGACATTAACAGTTGCAAAACAAATAATGGTTGCACAATAAATAAAGGAAAAAGATCGTGGAAAGCCCCACTAAGTCCACTCAGAGCTTCCAAGTTTCAGCTCTATCTTGCCATGCATACCAAGGTGAAGACAATGTTTGTTGGGGGGTGTTGGGGGGCAGAGCCCCCTATCAACTCTCCCCTCAGGGAATGACTGAAGTGCAAGCCCAGTCATGGCAATTTAGGATGTTGAATAATTTGTGAATGGGGTTGGGGAGAATCTCTAATAAGTGCACGAAAGTCTCACATAAATTATATATGGAAAAACAAATAAATTAAATGTAGCAAGAGACTTCTCAATCACCAATACAGCCAGCAACAGTTTGCAGAAGCTGTTGAAATGCAGACAACTAAAAGGCCAATCCGTCCCTAATCCATTTGACACCGACACCTTAAATACAAACATCATGCCACGAAGCCACAAATGCCTTGTAATAATTATCATTTTCTGGATTTTATCATAGATATTTAGAGTATACTTTTCCCTCCACACTGACTGAGAAAAATTAATGCTTTCCTTTAAAACAAGCTTTTTTCGATGATTTACGCTAATACGGGATCACTTCAGTATACTCTAATTTGCCTTCCTCATTATAATATCTTGTTATTTCCACAAATACAGTTCGCTTACCGGAACTCAAAATATGTAAACAAAAAACTCCATGCGTCCTTACATGCACAAGTGAGGAAGTAAACATTACACCAAACACCAATATTCTCCCAGCGAATCTACAACCAGATACATATTCCTATACTAGTCCCGTAAATTAACACATTCAAGTCTCAAAAAACAAACCGCAGACTGTTCAAACCTGTTAGAAAATGATTTCGGCTTCGGCAGCAGACTTCAGGCTTCCTCACTCTCTTCGACCTTTCCCGCCTCTGTTGTGTAAGTTGTTTTCTCCCTGTGACCTCTTGCGCCCAACTGTCGTACGCCGGGTTTAGGTATTGTTGAACGATAATTAATTTCGTGTGGTTATGTATGTATATATACACATATGTATGCATGTATGTACATATATATATACATATATATAATGCTCCTTTTTGTCTTTCATTTAAAGAAAGTTTTTTTCGTTTAGGGTTTATTCATTCATTATTCATTTTCTGCTATTGATCTGTATTTTGGTTTATATTTTCGGTGCTTTTTTGCTTAATTGAGGAAGAGAGAAAATATTGTCTTATTTTTGTTTTATATCGACCGAAATTTTAAGCACTGAGATGTCTAAACTCGTTTATTAATGTATGCTGTTCTTGTTTTTCAATAATGAGACTATAGAAGCATTTTCTCATGGTCAGCATTCGCCGTCTTGTGACCAGTTCAGCTGTATACGGTTCATATATTACTTTTTGAGTTCTTCATCATAAAATTGTGTCTTTACTCTTTAAAATCAGATTTTCCTCTTTTTTTTTTGGCTTTTATATCAACATCATTTATATTTTTTACTATCGTATGTTACGTGTGGGTTTTAATTTCATATAAAAAATCCATCAATTTCCTCAACATCGAAATGTATTTTAGTTATCAGTTTCATCAAAATTGGCCATACAATTCAAAGAAATCACATTGCAACGTATATCCACAACGGAATACAACTTCCGCCTTGCGTTGGTTGTCTTGTATGCAGTATCAGCTTCTATTCAATTTAACTACTTAACTATTTTGGAATGATTAATGCATCAAGTCCCTTACATCTAGGAAAACAAATGACATGAAACTACAAGAATAATCGACCAGGGAGAAATTGAAAATGAAAAAAGAGAAATGAAAAACGGAACATTATCGTACTAGGTAATGTTGCCCAAACATGCTGAGCCTTGTTCCCGCCAAAACATCGATACAAGCGTTACGTCATAAGCATGCGGTTACGTCACGAGGTTCTTGTTCTATATAATTTCACCACAGTAATCTCTAAAACATTATCCTTTTGTAGCGACAATACATGGAATGAGGACTAACACAAGAAATAGTTATGCTTTTCTTTTAGTCTGATCCTTTAAAATTTATTTTTCTATTCTTATCTTTTATTTTTTTATTTTTTTATTTATTTATTTATTTTTGGGGAAGGGAGGTATAACAGAGGCAACTAATAGCTACATTATAAATATCTAAAACTGCAGCTCTACAGCACTGTACTCTTCTCTCTTCTCACTGTGGGTTATTATTTTTTCGATAATCCATAGAGCTATCGAGTTCTCACGACCGCCCAACCGTGAAACTCCCATTTTAACCGCCATCTCTGTGTTATCCATGGGCTTTTTAGTAAAACTGTCATTACTCAGGTCATATAGCAGAATGCCTAATATTACAATATGAATCATATGAAAAATCTCTACCTGCTTCGATAGGCTGAGATTTACGATTCATGGATTTTCCTAATATAAAGTGAATGTGTAGTATACATCCCTAATAGATATGATTATTACTTATTCTTCCCTCTCAAATTCCATGCGTAATACAAGCAGTGGTACAAGTGGGATCAGCAATGCTCAAGCACGAACGCCCAAGGCCAGTTTCAAATACCCCTGTACCATGCACTGAATTCCGTGCAACCGGTAAAATGGCGCCCACACACAGGCCAGGAAACCAGTCGTGTGTTTCAGTATCTATCAATGAATGTGGAGCTGGGGGGAGGGGGGGCAGCTGAGTATTGGTGGCACTAGGTAATCGACCTATATAGTCGTCTAATGCTACGTTAGGGTTTTAGAGCATATTCTAAGATCATATTTGTGGTCGGAATTAGAATGTTTAATCATGGTGAAAAGTTTCAGGTATGGGTTACTATATTCATATCTTAAAGAATATGAAAGGTTTGGCCAAATTTTGAGGATTTTTCATAGATACATTAAGATAACCAAGAATTATTAAGCAATTGGATTTAATCATATTAATCAAATATATCTTGCATAACAGACCTAATGTTTATAATATATATATTTTTTAACTCATATCCCATCTAAAATAAATGTTCATAAATATTGTAGAGTGAGGGGGGACTCTTCACATGAAATCCTTCTTTTGATCCTTTATTCTCAAATGACAAAATAATAGTTACACAAAAAATTATTTCATATATAGATAAAACAGCTTACATAGATGTCTATTAATTTTCTTTATACCTTGCGCTCTCCTTCTCCCTCCCCCCCCTCTCCCTCCCTCCATTCGCTCACTCACTCACTCACTCACTCATTCACTCACTCACTCTCCCCCCAAGTGGATAAAAGCATAATCAAATTTTTATCTCTAGGAAGGATAAGGGAAACACCACAAAGAGAATTTCTGAATAATTTATATATTTTTGAGCAGTTTTTACTTGGTATAAAAATGGGTCACCATAGCCGATATAGGCCAATCAATATAAAAACAGCCTTGTACTTAATTTTGCCCCAGTTCATAATTTATCTTATCAAGAACAATTCTGAGATCGCAGATCTTGTAGAAAAAAAACATACAGAAAAAAATCATATCTATACTCTAAACAACTTTGTAAAGGGGCAGACAAGATAATGACAATAAACATTGCAATATTATCCCATGACCTTACAAGAACGAAAATGGTCACATGTACACAGGACTTAACCTAATGTAAAAAAAACAATCTTATACAATCCTTTTATCCTTGTTCACTGTTTTCAGGACTTCTTATAGTTGCTTTTTATAATGTCCAAGAGCTTGCTGCCAAGTCCTTCATCCTGAAAACAAAAAATAAAATGTCTGTCATATTTCCAAAAACAGAACAATTATATTATGGGTGTAGGTGCAGGTGTGTGTCTGTGTTTTTCACATATGTGAATATCCATATAGATCAATCTGTTTATATATATCTGATTATGTAAAAAGTGTAAATACTGAATGAGCAGTAACTATAACAGAGTAGAAGAGGAAAAAGTAGCTGGAGAAAGTAAACCAATAGAACAGATACAAAAAATGGATGATAAAAGAAACACAGAAAAAATAACTAGAAAATGGTACATAGAGGAAAAGAAATACAGTATTCAATGAGCTAGGAGAGAAAAAAGGAATTAACTAAATAAAAATTAAAAACTGAAAGAGGAAAACATAAAGCCCTTTACTAACTTGATGAGTCCACGAGAGTAAGATGGTCTTCCCAGGTTCATCATCTTGGATATTAATGAACACTGAATCAGCAACGGAAAGCTGGAACTCATTGACAGCTTGCACTTGAGAACTGCCTAATTTCCTGAAAGAGAAAATATACTTACTATTAATTTCAATCTATAAAAAAAATATTCCTTTTCATTAGCCACTTACAGCAGATTCAGGTAAGTTTGTCTCTGCTCTACTCATTCATTCATTCCTGCTTTAGGATAAAAAAGACTGCTTAACCCATTGGCGCCGGGTGTCATGTACGTACATGCCATGGCTGTTGTGGACCAAACGCCGGGGGCATCATGCCATGCCCATTCCCGCGCTACTGGCTCGTCGGAAGGAGGTTGTTTTTCTCCACTAGTAGCGGCTTCATTTATATGGTAAAGATTTTAGGTAATGGCACCTAGAGTGAAGGTAAACCTTCAAAATTTTAATATTTTTATAAATTATAGCAAAATAAAAGCTTTTAGGTGCTATATGTCGCTCGCAAACTACCGATCGAGCTGGGCGCAAACAAGGGAAACTGCCAGTGCGCGCCAACAAGCCGGTGCATACGTAAACTTGACAAAATTTTTACCCTTCGCTGATGGGTTAAATACCTAATGGATGAAGCCATAACCAACCATTCTCTTTATGTAAATGGCTATTTCCACTGACAAAAACAACACATAGCACAGAGCTTTTGTTCTCAAATTATATGATTATGACAAACATTTAAAGCATCAAATATAACTTACTGAGACAACAGAGTGTGTAATGCTGAGGTGAGAGCAGGAACAGGGCCAGTTTCGTCCACTTCAATTCTCTCCGTGAACCTTAGATTGTGTGCAGTTACACCAAGGTCTCCCCAGGCCTCATTTACCCCAACGATTCTCAAATTCTGTGAAAATCAAATGATGAAAAACTTGCTCAAAACATTTGTACTTACTTATCTCTTTTCCTTAAAGAAATAGAGAGCAAAAAGCTAGTAACTAAAAGAGCAAAAAAATCACAAATACCTTCAAATTTCCTTGTTATCAAACAATTAGTTATCTAACAACTAAATCAGAGATGCAGTCACATTTCTACTCACATTATTCTTCATAATGAGGACCCCATGCAGGACCTTCTGCTTCTTTGTTCGATTTTCTTCCGTGTTGTTGCCTCTAGAGGATGAGGAGGAAGAAGAGGAGGAGGAAGAGGAGGAAGAGGAGGATGAGGAAGAGGTAGGGAGGGCCATTGTGTGCTTCAGTAAAGGGAGTGACACTTCCACGTCTAGATCAATGGACACAGGGATGATTGACGTCTCACCATTCCCTGGCTTGTAGCAGTTGATGTTGAACTCCTTCAGGGTTAAAAAGAGGAAAGGCAACAATAAAAAGGAAATGCATCCTTTTTAAACCACAGTCACCAGTCACTGCTTCTTTACACCATATGTTCTCTATTTCCTCTTTTCATCTCATTAAATTTCAACCTTTTCTTACCTGCATGATCTTTTGCTTCAAGAACTCCATCTTCGCATTTTCTCCATGCACCAACATTACATTTTTGGGCTCACAGTGGCGAATCAACTGCATGATACCTTTGGCATCAGCATGGGCACTAAAGGACATGTACTGCAGACCAAAATTATAAATGGATGTAATTAAAATGCCAACACTTGCAATAAATTATTTATACTGTGAAAGTCACTTCAGAAACACAAATGAATGTAGAGAGAAACTTTCTTGGGTGTGAATGCAAAGCTTAAAAAGTAATTATTTTGATGTTCAATATATTCTATTTCCCAATGTAATATAATCATTTAAAAAAAAACACACTTCCTCAAAGATCTCCATACTTAAACACTAACCTCAACAGTAAGGTTCACCTCAACACTTGTTCTATTCTCAAAATCAATCTTCTTAGCACCATTCAGAATCTTGTGGCCTACTGTTCCTTGGACACAGTAACCAGGCATAATAACCTGTAAGGGTGAGTACAAATTTTATTAGAGAACTTAACAATAATATAGAAGTATTTTACAATGCTTGTCTCTATATGATCTTGATAAATATTCTCTATCAAATATTAAATTATTTACAGTATTCCACTGTATTTTTCAGATGGAAAAAATTCCTTTCTTGATATACACTACAATATTCATAGAAACAAGGTTAATCAAAATTGCTTTACCCTTATTTTTGGACAAATGGAATGACGGGAGATAACAAGTTCATTTTCAAGAAAAAAAGGAAAAAATATATCATCTTTTTCCTTCCTTCCTAAATCAATAATGAAAAAAAAATCTAAACATGAGAGGACTTACCATATTATTAGCATTTGAGGCCCATTTCTTGAAGATAGCGAGTGACAAGCCTGCATGCAACATACCAGGAGTGGCAAACACAACCATAGGACCTGGGTTATCCATGTAAGACTTGTCAAAGGGCTTGATGTGCTTGAAATCAAACATGTTCCGATGGACAAATGTGCGTCTGATCTTCTGGTTTGTCCAAGTTATAAACATTCTGTAGTATTTATTGGCCTGAAATGTATCAATTTTGGTTATTTTTTTCATAAGCCTTTCAAGTAAACAAATTAAAAATGGTGTGAGCACGGAAACTCAAATGTATAAGCCATCTTAAATGATCAACAAGAAATAGTCAGTACTCTGAACCATAATACTCACAGTCTCAGCCAGACCCATGGTGAAATAGATGGGAACTTTCAGGTTCATGCGGTCCCAGTAGGTGTCAAGTAAAATGCACAACTCTTGCACACGACCAAGGGCAAACACTGGAATCAGGACTTTGCCTCCTCTATCTACAGCATCATGAACTTTTTTTAGGAAGTCACGTTCTCTGTATTGAGGATCATATTTTCTTATGAGTTCATGTAGTCAACTCATCTGTAGTTACACTTTCTTATGTCTAAGTACTAAAAAGACAATGGCCATAAATATATCAAAGTTATAACTATTCAAACTCTAACCACAAAAGGACATACCTTATTCAGGTACACTCAGGTGAGTATACCTGGCAAACTGTACCAATATACCTACAGGATATCAAAAAATATTTCCAACTCTCATGGTGTAGTTTTTTTATTCCTAATAAACTACTCACATTGGCAGCATATTCACACATTAAGAGAAATACAATGAAGCACCATACGATGACATCATTCAAGCATAGTCTGAATTGAATTAATGTTTCCTCAGTTTAAGAAGGTTTCATCTTATGAAAAGACAACTGAAACTTTCTGATAAGATGAAGCTATGGGCATTTTACAATCAAATAATCCCCCTCCCCTGTACACTATACATTCATTAACACTTCTGAATAACTAAAAAATAAATAAAAAATAAAAAATCTAATAAAAATAAAATAAATAAAAGTACAATCCATAACATTAATGGTTTTCAATGGTTTTCCAGACCAGTGTTTATAGTCTCAGTCTCACCTGCAACGTTTAGAGTCACGGATTGTTGTGGCATATGTTGACTCTGAGATAAGGAGGTCTGGCCTGCACTTGTCTATCCATGCTGCTCCCAGGTGCCGATCAGGAGTCATATTGTAGTCCCCCTAATATCACAGAAAGAAAATTTCAGTTATCATAATGTACTTCTAATGCACTAAATAAGCAATATGTACTATATTTGCAGTTCTTTCACTAACTTGAAAAACAAAAACAACTTTCACATACATCCTATTTTTAAAATAGTATAATAAGAATTATAAAGAATATACAGATATCATAGTGACACAACATAATGTAACCAAAAAAGACCATTTGTTCTATTTGGCCCCTAATTAAAACTTACTGTGTATACAAGACTCTGCGAACCCACTCTGATGTGGAACATAGCTGCACCCAGTACATGTCCAGCATAATAGGCCTTTATTTCTAAGTCACTGTCCACCTGTTTTGTTGGTTTAATTAACGTATGAAACTGTTAGCTTATACATAAATGGACATAATAAATTCTTGGCAGACAGATTTGATGTTAATAGCAATAACTTTAAAATAATTCAGTACATAATAACATTTCAATGTATCTCATTCTGCATACATACCATTATATTTCTGGAAGATCAACTTACCTGCAATGTTTCATGAAGTGTAACAGTAACAACCTTCTTCATGCAGTCTTTGATCATCACAGATGTGAAAAAGTTTGTCTCTCCTTTCCTCTCCACGGCAACCTTCCTCATGTCCTCCTAACATATCACAGAAAAGTTGCACTCATTATGCTTCTTTAAACTCAAAAGTGATCTGTTTTGTGGCTACCAAATATCCAAAATTATATCTAGAAAGGATTAACATATACAACACCTACCAAGAGCACAGGGCAAAGAGCTTTGGTGGGCTGTGTCATATAGATGGGCCCATTGTACCCCACCATTTCTGTCATGTAGGGCAGAGCCCCACAGTGATCAAGATGGAAGTGGCTGATAATAATACAGTCCAAGTAATCAGTCAGTGGGCCATCAGTGATATAAGAAAAATCTGGGAAGCGTCGATCATCATTGTATCTGAAAATTTATGAAAATGAGGTTTTCCCAAATTTAAAACAGATGACAAATGGTCAGATCCTGTGAAATGCTGGAACTGGCTAAATATCAACCATCTTTACAAGGTCCCTGCTGAAGTAACCAACATAGGAGCTAACTTTGAAATTTCAGTGAGTGGGGTGCCAATACCATTAGTTCATAGTTATGCTATATTTCACTCTTCCTTTTGAAATTGCTCAGGTCACTCACTATGCTCCTACCAATGTTGTTAGTCTATATCTTTTAAAATCTATTCTTAAATTTATTTTTAGTTATGTGATTTTGTTTGCAGTTTCATTGACTCATGGGCATGTCACTTTCCTTTCTTCATCAAGGAGTGCAAAAATCATTGACAAATTGAATGTCTATTACACATTATCATACGTGAAATTGATTTTATGCAGAGTGCCAATAGCCAAATACAAATTTCTTCATCATAAATCTAAGATTACTCAGTAAATTGCATAAGCCACTAGCTGGCAAATATTAAAAAACAGTTGTAGTTAACTATATCCACATCCATAAATGACAAATGTAAAAAATGGAGAGCCAAAGACACAATATCTAGCTATAAAAACCAAGATCTTTTAAATCTAACAAAAAAAAAGCATTATAAAACTCTCCTTACCCCATGTGCATTCCACAGTCCAACATGATGTTTTTACCACCTATTGTGACTAAGATACAGCTCCGACCCACATCCTGCCCCGCACCTGTGAAAATCAATGATGACAATAAACACAAGGAATAACATTTATAAATGACAACACATTCATTTATATCATTAAGATATGAGTAAATTACAGAAACAAGTAATTCATGTAATCATTATAGGAAATCACCTTCTTTATATGGTTCCCTTTTATATCCACCAAATTAAATTATTAAACAGTCTCTTATCTTTAATTTCTTATAATAAGATTAATTCCAATTTCACTAAATTCAAAATCAATACATATATATTCAGAAATCTGAAAATCTTATATATTTTTACCTAGTGAAATTCAAAATTCATCTACTCTAATGCTAACTTCTTTCTAACACAAAAATATGAAATAAAATCTAATAAATAACACAAAGAAATTGCAAGAAATTATAATGTCATAAAATAAAGCTTTTTTTACAATTCACTTGTAAACTGACAGTTTTCCAAAGATGTTTCAGTAACAGTGTACACTCCAGTTACTGTAGGTGTATCAAGACTTTTAACACTTTATAAAAGATCACAGTAAAGAAGGCCTACAATTCAATTTGGAAAAAAACAGGTCATATAATCATAATGAAGTCTTGGTTTGAAAGACACTGCCACCATCCCGGGCACATATACCAAAATTTGCAAAATTATCTTGTATGTTCCTGATATCTAATGATATATGTTTAACTTTCTTAATATAAATTTCGAAGAATCCATACAAATTATAGTTATTCATAAATCAATTACTTTAACGTATATTTCCTCATTTACAGACCCTTAACAAGACAGTTAAATCCCGGTTTAACTATCTAGTTGCTCACGTTGAGAAATTAATTGAATGGTCATAACTTTCTTCGAATTTAAGCTGAAAACAACTCATCTTAACAGACGTTCACATGATATAATCTATACTGTTTTCTCTAGCTCTCATAAAACATACCAAGGGGTGTTACTTTGATCTCCGGCATTTTTTTATTGATATTTTATTCCAGCTCACAGCACTCCATTGAATCGGTTTGTTATGATCAGGGTTACAGCGACTACGGGAGTATAGTATTTTATAGGGGATGCGAGCTTATGAAATAAAAAAAATCACGATATTTTATCCTATATTTCCATAGCTATAATAATATCAGTAATAATGGTGGTTTTGATTATTTCTTTGATTAATACACTTCTAAGAGACAAATAATGAAATAATAGAAACAGTAAAAAAATAACAGTAATGATAATAATAATATTAATGATGATGATGATGATGATGATGATGATGATGATGATGATGATGATGATGATGATGATGATGATGATGATGATGATGATGATGATGATAATGATAATGATGATGATGATGATGATAGTTATAAAATAATGATAGCATTTAATAATAATAATAATAACAATAATAATAATAATAATAATAATAATAATAATAATAATAATAATAATAATAATAATAATAATAATATAATATAATAATAATAATAATAATAATAATATAATAATAATAATAATAATAATAATAATAACAATAATAAATAATGTGATAATAACAATAATAACAACAACAATAATAATTATAATAATAATATTAATAATTAATTATTATTATTATTATTATTATTATTATTATTATTATTATTATTATCATCATTATCATTATCATCATCATCATTATATTGTTACTATTATAATTATTTTATTATTAATTATTATTATTATTATTATTATTTATTATTATTATTATTATTATTATTATCATTATTATTATTATTAATCATTGCAATAGCAACAATAATAAAGTGGTAGCAACTACAATCTTAATGATAATCACAATAACAATAAAAAGGAGACAAAGAGGATGAGGAAGAAGAAGGTAGAGGAAGAGAAAATAAAACGAAGAAGAAAAGGAGGAGGAGGAGGAGGAGGAAAAAGGAGAAGAGGAGGAGGAGGAAAGAAGAAAAAAAAATCACGAAAAAAATGAGAAGGGTTCGCACTTGCACACACAACACACCCGTTGAGATGTTTGCCTGGAATTCGACATCAAAAAGTGTGCTGCGTGGAGTTCGAAGTTCAGTTGAGATGCGGTTTGACGTCATCAGCGCTCTTCCCAGCTGCCTCTCTCATACCAGTTGATCCCTTATCACTACAACTTCTACTTCAGTTAACATACAAATGACATTTGCTTTGCAAGAGTAGACATCGTCCTTTGAAATAATGATAATACTGTTGATGATAAAAAAAGCGTATCAAATATATTTGGCAATTATATCAATTGATGACTGGACTTTAAAACATGTCGTGACACCTCGCAATCTAAAAAAAAAAAAAAAAAAAAAAAAAAAAAAAAAAAATGTCGTACATGTACAATAATATTAGACTCGAAAATACTTGAAAATGCATATGTATGTGCGTGCAAATACATAATAATCTCAGGTTTATTGTCAGTCTCTCATAGAGAACACTTGAGGAGCTCTTAATGAATGAATTTCAGGTTTCTGGGGAACATGGCTTACAAACACTGAAACCTTAATTATTTTTGTGGGACTTTTTCTGCAACTGTTCAGTAAGAAATAGGTTTTCTTTTAAAGTGCATGGTGTTCATGAAGTCTAGAAAAGGTATGAATGCATGGTGTTCATGAAGTCTAGAAAAGGTATGAATGAGACTGGATTTCTTCACAATGTATTTGACCGGTTTCGATTACGTCTTCGTCAGAAATACATGTATTTTTGACGAAGACGTAATCAAAACCGGTCAAATACGTCTCTTGTATTGTGAAGATAACCAGTCTCATTCATACCTTTCCCTACATTTGTCAACATAGACACGGTTCATCGTCCGTGAAGTCCTAACGGGTTGATGCGTGGAGATTCTGCGTCGATCGTTGAGTGCCTCCTTACCAGTTCAGTTCAGTTCAGTTAGATTTGCCAGATCTAGCTTCGCCCAGGCCTTTTCTCTAGAGTGACCCAGCCTGTGTCAGCTATTTATCGTTGACTCGTGTGTTTTCTTTGAATTATATGCTTAGCGTGGTGGCTGGATTGCAAGCAAGCGATCCAGCTGCCACGGAGTAAGCATGTGGCATACCCTTTTTACCATCCCGTCGGCTGTAGTGGGTGGTCCCTGTCTCAGAAATTGCGTGTTTTTTTCTGAGACTGGGGCTCACACCACAGCCACCGGGCTTATCGGCGACCAAAGACGATATATACATCTGAATCGCCTCTGACCGGTGCCTCATCATTCTTACTCCTATATTGGGTTTTGTGGCCGAGAATGGGGGGGGGGGACCACAGCTTGTGGAACAGTGGATTGATAAGCTCCTTTTGCAATCCCCGATCGAGGATAGACAGTTGGGAAAAAAGGAGAAAAGAAGGAACCCTGCTCTATGGCCTATGCAGGCCAGGGGGGCGGCAAGGAGCACAGGCAATACGACGAACATCTTTGATTGCAGGAACACGGAGGCAGTTCTCTGACTTAAGTTACAGTCCGAGGAAAACCATGTGACGAACTCTGTTGGAAGGCAGCTTCAGATTAGGTAAAAACCTAGAGGATATGCATGGAACGCAATATTCAACAGCAACCTCAGTAATCCCATGCAAGATATGAGGTACATCACTGCCGAGTACATCCAAATTCAGGCAACCACACCCCGTCTATTGCTTTGCAAAACGGGACCTGCCCATCCACCTGCTGCCCCATGGACGCAGGGAAATAAGGAAAATCACTTGAAGGACAAATGTATTCTTCCGTCAAGGCAAAATTAGAGCCTACTTTAATTCTCAGGGATCCAGACACGGAAGGAAGCAAGCAAAGGATTCAGACAAGGAACAAAAAAACAAAGGATGAAACACTAGAACGCGAGAGAGAATATCGCCTCATGGGCAGAAAAAAGTTCAGACATCATAACCTAATATGAAGGGACAGTGCTGTCTTTACATCTGGTAACAGCCTTGTGGGCCAATCAACACTGGCCCCAAAACTTCTGCATTAAAGTCAAAACGCCACTGTGGATGACGCATGTGAAAATTAGAAATTTTGAACGGAACAGGTGAAATCTATGGAGATGTTCTCAAGATACCTTCAGGTCTCAAATGGGACCACATGTAGGGGCTTGTTCTGTAAATATTAGCAAGCAGAATTCTCATAATTCTGTACAATATTACTACTTAGCCCTTTTACGGATTTCATAACTCATGTGTCTGCCTTCCTTTTACGTTCAAGACAGTTTATATTACACCCCCGGGCCACGCAGCTAAAGGCCCGGGATAGGCCACTGAGAACATCCCATGGCAATTCAATTTGTCAGTATATCATTATTTTTATTTCCTCATATAGACCACATGTATGAGCTAGTTTTGTAAATGTTTGTAAGCAGAATTTTCATCATCTTGTTTATTCCTACTTGTTCTTTTACTGACTTCATAATTCATTTATGTCTGGCTTTCGTTTATTTAAGGCAGATATGTAGCAGGAGTGTTATTCAGTGTCATTATATTTGATATTTTTGCCACGATGTGCTTTTCAATGTTAGGAGAGGGAGGGTCATTTAAGCATTACGCCTAAATGTTTGCACTACATCTTATTCCATGTAATTGATAGTAAAAACCTGCTTTGAAGACCACATCGAAAAGGCTGGAAACTAAAGGGGAGTTTTCGCCATGCCCTCCTCCACCCGTGGTACTCTGCTGGTGGTCGAAATTTCTTTATAAATCTTTTAGAAAGTCCACTATACTGGAATCATCTTTGCAAAGCCGCGTAATGGCCTACAAAAGTAACTCCGTTTGGTTAGGGTTTCCATGTTCGGAATAAACCAGGTTGTTACTTATTCACGTGTCTCGTTTCAATATCTTTAGAATGTCACTTGTTACTATAATTGTGTATTATTTACACCGTGGCCTGAGAGGTATCTTTGTTGCCATGTTAAAGTTATTACTTTCGACACGTCTCGAATGTAACCACCGTGGTTTTTTGCCCTTGCCCTGGCATCTGTCTCAGACTCAATTGAAAGAATTAGCCAGGTTCACCGGTATGTTCAAATTCAGCTTACCTTAAATCTTCCCGATACCTCAATTTTATATAGGGGCCCCTCACATTTATCAATAGACGAATTACCTAAGAAGCGCTTATTATTGGTTATCATTCTCGGCCGGGGGAAACTAAACGCGCCATAGTAGTACTGCAGTTTAGACACCTTTTGTAATCGCGCCTAGTATTAATATCGATATACCTATACACTTATCATATCTTAACTACATACTCAATATTGATAAACAATTGAACTTAATGGTGCAGTACTTCATCGGGGTTAGAAATAACTTTTTAATCCCCTATCATTTCATAATCTCAAAGGTCCGTTGCATCTTAGCTCTGATTTCTCACATCCTTTCTAAGGATTTTAGCTACATCTTTGCTTACACATCTATTCCTTATTGCTTAACTACTTTTCCTCTGAGGTGCTAATTCCTGCGATTAGAGAGCCCACTCACTTCGCTCTGTGCTTCTTTCTCGTCGTAAGTATAAGCTGAGTCTGAAATCTCCACGATTCGTGCCATACGATCAATAGAAACAATTAATATAGACCTCGTTACACCCTCATATACACCATTTCCTCTTTCCTTCCGTGCACTTACTCAAACAATACATTCTACCTCGACGCCAGCCCCGAAACGCCTGTTCCTTGGTTGATTTCCCCGAGTTTCGGTTGTCTCTTCTCCCGTCCTCGGCGAACTAACGACGCCCTCTTCCGTCTCCCTCTTTCTTGCGATCTATCGTTCTCCCCCGGTACACAGCGAACTTCCAACTTCGCTGACCTCTCTCTTATCTCTACCTTTTTTGTCTATCTATTTGTCTCAAGCTAACATCTACACTATCTCTTCGTTTCTATTTGTACCTGCAACTCTTCCTGTTTTGAACTTTCCTTCTATAACTTCACATGAGTATCCTCTCCATTTATTCTTACATTCTATCATCTCCTTCACCTCTTCTAATTTCGTTAAATCGCTACTACGTTCTCACTATTCGTTTCATATTATATTTAATAATCTATCATCTCTTCTTCCTTCACGTCTATCACCTAAGTCCTATCACTCCTTTTACTTTACTCTCTATATTATACTTACCCTATTATCCAATCCTCTTATTACTCATTTTTATCTTTATTATCGGTTGGCCTCCTCTCTCTACTTATATGCCCTTTATTTCAAAGTCCCTCATATCTCGTTAATATATTTATTTCATCTTCACTTTTCTATATCTCTTCCCCTCATCCCTTTCTACCTCCTCTCTTCAATTACTTTTCTACTACTCTTTCTCTCTATTCTCTACTCTTCTCTCTCACTCTTCTTCTTCCTTTCTTCTTACGTCCTCTCGTGCTTCCCTCTTTTCTTACTTACTCTCTCTTCACTTATGTGCTGTTTGTGTTGCTCTCTCTCTTCTTCTTTCTCTCTCCATTCTCTTCCTTCATCCTCTCTTTCTTTCCCTCTCTCTTTTCTTTACTCTCCTCTGCTTTTCTACTATCATTTCTCTCTCCCCTCACCCTTCTCTCTCTTTCTTACCTATCCTTCCTTCTCTCTTTTCCCACCTAACCCCTCATTCCCTCTCTCTCATCTGTCCACCCCCCTCATCTTCTCTCTCGCTCCTCCCTACCCTCTCTCTCACTCTCTCTCCTATCCTCCACTGTCTTATTCCTTACGTCTATATTTTACTTCTCTCTATCTATTTATATCTTCTACTTACTTCCCTCTGATTTTCATTCTATCATCTTCCTTCTTCTCTCTCCTTCTCTCATCTCTTACTCTCTCTCTATTCTTATACTTGCTCTCCTTCCTCATTATCTCCTTACTCCCTTTCCTCTTATATCTTCTCTACATTCTCGTTCTCCCTTCCCCCTTTCCCGTTCTCATCCCTTCTCTCCTCCTCTCTACTCTCTTCTCTATCTCCTTACTATGCTTCCTATTCTCTCCTTCTCTAACGTCTTCTTCTTACTTATATGTCTTCTTATCGTGTTACCTTACTTAATGTCTCTCTTATTTCGTTGCTTCTCTCATAAATTTAATAAATAATTAAAAATAATATGATATATATTATAATAATATATATATATATATATATATTAAATAATTCATATATAATATTATTAATATATAGTATAATAAATTTAGGTATAATTGTTATATTTTATGTGACTAACTTATAAGTATATTATAGATAGTATACTTCTATACTTATATAATACTTTAATATATTGTATACTATATTATAGATATAACTGTTTATGAATTTAGTAACATCATTATTATTAAATATAGTATACATACTAAGTGAATAATCTGTAGTGAAGTTAGAGTTGTTCAGTTAGTGTGTAGAGATGAGAAGAATGAATTAAGAAAGAAAGATGAGAGCACAGATATTGAGAGGAGAGCATGATACTGATATAAATCTCATAGATGAAGTATGATGAGCGGGGCGACGAAAAGATGTGAGAGTGGAGTTTGGAGTGCCGCACGAATGTATATGAGTGTCATCCGGAGAAAAAGTGGAGATGATGGATGCAACGTGTAGTTGAGAGGAGTGATGCCATGAAGAAGTATGAGAGAGAGGATGATGTTGTGCTGGCTGTGGTGACCCTGTCCGGCGACAAAACACACACCGGCCAGTGACTAACATTGTTGCGCCGCTAAGCCACATACCGCTGTTGTGTGTGGTAGTGAAGGATAGTGTGCTGTGAATAGTGTGTTGTGTTGGTGTCGGGTGTGTGTGTGTGGTGTGTGTGTGTATCATCGGCTAGAAGCAGTTGCACAAGTTATGCTATATATAATGCAATAGTTGGTAAAATGTAACCCATAATTACCTATGACAATGTAAAAATCTAAGGGAATAAAACCACAAAATAGAGTTTGGAGGTAGTGATACTGTAGCTTCAGAAGTTGTGATTATGTTAGAGCTGAAGTAATTGTGGATCTTGGTAGTTATTTTAACTCAGTTTAGGACCAAAATACCAAGTTGCCTTCTGAAACTGTTACCTCAGCATCCATATAAACAAATAACCTGCCCTTCGTCTAGGTGACCAATCATCCCTACGTCTCTAATCCCTGTAGGTGTTGGCAGTTCAGCTTGGAGCAACACTAAGTGAAGATGAATCAGTGTTGACCCTAAGAACTCATCCAGAAAAAAGCATGTGATAAGCCATAAAAAGATAAAATAAAAAATAATAAAAAATCTGATATTATCTCTAGTATTAATGCAAAGTTAACTGTATATTCCAGTTCGTCTTCCCCCAAAGTTTTGGATGGCCGGCCAAGAAACTATGGTCCATTTTTATTTTTATTATATAAACTTGTATGTTCTTATTGTACACAGTTTTACATATAATCCCCTTTTGTCCTTCTTATAGAGTAGGACACTGAACAAAGAAGGGAACCACATCATTAAGTCAAGATAAATCAGTACTGAATCTAAGAAGTCATTCTGAGAAAACGGCGTGATAAGCCGTAAAAAAAAAATTCTATTACCTCTAGTAATAGTGCAAAGTTAACTGTATATTCCAGTTCGTTTTCCCCCGAAGTTTTGGATGGCAGGCCAAGAAACTATAGTCCATTTGTATTTTTATTATATAAAATTGTACATTCTTATTGTACACAGTTTTACATATAATCTCATTTTGTCATTCTTATAGAGTAGGACACTGAATAAAGAAGGGAACCACACCATAGAGATATGAGGTGGAATAAGCACAGAGGTAGATGAAACAAAAACTACACTTGACCTATGGATATCACTTGAAGTACATTGACATGAGAAATACAATATCTATTAAAAGAAGAACCCATAGGTCTTGGATGATAATGGTATATATGAATGAATATATAGATGATATTGACATATCTGAGAATAAGAGTAAATCTAATTCAGTTTAAGGTTTCCAGGATTAATGATGAATGGTGGGGCAGAATGATGCCATACTGATGTGAAAATTCCATGATCAAAAATAGTGTTAAATCTATCTGAAATAACCTTTGATTCAATTACAAGTGCGAAGTAATTACAAAGTCGGCCTAACATGTACATATACATAAATATGAGTATATGTATACAGTACACAATAATAATAACAACTATAAGCTGGTAGAAGATAAACATGAGAATAACAGTAGCAGTAATACTAATACTAATGCCAATGCTGCTGCTGCTGCTAATAATAATAATAATAATAATAATAATAATAATAATAATAATAATAATAATAATAATAATAATAATAATACCAACAATAATAATAACAGTAGTGATAGAAAGAAAAAAAAACTTAATTACAAAAGTAACATGAATAAAATGACAGTAATGAAATTTACTCTTAATGTTATCAAAGGTTAGACAAACACAGATAGGAGAACCATGATGTGTTTTATTTGTATTACAATATAACTGTTACTTTCATATGGGTTTTGATTATGAGGATTGTCATACAACAAAAAATCCTAAATATTGGTAAACTAAGATATGAGGTATTTTTGGCTTCAGAAACTGTATTGTAGAAGAAAAGAGCAAGTTTATGGTTGAATTATTCAGTGATTTCATATCATGACATTTTCAAAAGATTTGCCTCCCTCATGTTCAAACTCATTAAGTGGTACAAAAAATTAAATTCACAATTAAAAAGTTGTATAATGCAATGCAACATTGAACTCTAAGGTACTAAGTAATCCTTATCATTCTGTACAACCTTTTGACCTCCAATATGTTGATAATGTTATCATTTTTGTCTTAAAAAGTTTAGATCTCATAGTTATGCAAGATTCTTTAATACATGAAGACATTAGTCCTAGTATGTAATGTAATAAATAAATATATATAAATGTGTGTATATATGTATATATATTATATAATATATATTTATATATATATATATATATATTACATGTATATATATGTCTGTGTCTATGTGTGTGTATAGTGTATTATATATATATATATATATATATATATATATATATATATCTATATATATATATATATATATATATATATATATATTATATATATATATTATATATATATATATATATATATTATATATGGTGTGTGTGTGTGTGTGTGTGTGTGTGTGTGTGTGTGTGTGTGTGTGTGTGTGTGTGTGTGTGTGTGTGTGTGTGTGTGTGTGTTGTGTGTGTGTGTGCTATATATTTTCTCTACATACATATACATATATATTATATAGATACATACATACATACATATACATATGCATATGCATATGCATATACATATATATACATATACATAATACATATACATATACATATATATATATATATATATATTATATATATAATATATATATATATATATATATATATATATATATATATATATATATATGAACACAAGCACAAACACAATCACGTGAACACAAAAATGAAAAAGAAACTAGCCACAATGAGAATTGAAAATAAGCGTAACGTTTTGAACTCTTCGCAAGTTCCTCATCATTTCGGTTTTTGTCTGATGAGGAACTCACGAAGAGTTCGAAAAAAGTCACGCTTATTTTCAATTCTTATCATGCCTAGATTCTTTTTCGTATATATATATATATATATATTATATATTATATATATATATATATATATATATTATATATATATATATACATATATATATATATATATATATATATATATATATATATATATATATATATATATATATATTATATATATATATATATATATATGAATCTGAATAGAAAACACAACTAAAAATATCTAAATATCAAGGAAGAAAACACGGTCTTGCTTGTTTATACCTGAATGTGTCACATGAAATTATAAATTGTGAAAAACAGCTAAATACTGTTTGCTTATTTTCTGTTTGTTTATTTATATATTTACATTTAATATTAATATTTTATAAAAGCTTGGTATAATCTAAGCTTTCTCATATACATACTATTGGCATTTATCTATCTGGAAGACATATCTCATTTCTCAAATTGCTAACATTGGAGAATGAGAGACAGAAATTATGTAAATGACAATTGTAGTTGTCTCTAACAAGCATAAACAAATAAAAATATATGAATAATATGTAAGACTTGTCTCATTTAATTCCACATACAAAATGTGTTCAGTTCCTTTATGATCTTACATCAATTCACTTTTCAGTCCATCAACCTTTTAATCAAGTTTTTGTTATTTTTCCTTTCCTTAAAATCTCATAATTCTAACTGAAAGTTACTAGTAATAAACATTAAAGAATATACTTTTAGATAAGGTCAACAATAGAAAATTTAACTTTAATGCTGCTGTAATACCATCACACACTTATACACACACACACCTTTTTGGAGTCTAGAAGAATAACTGTGTCAGGGAGTGTGAAATTTGTGTGACTGTCCACGAATAGATGGGTTAGTCATACATATTTTCACTCCTTAGGTCAATGGGTTTTTAAAAATTCTCAAACGCTGGCATGGACCTTCATGAGTTTACAGGGACCTTTTTGGATGGTCCTATCAAACCGTGACTTAGTATTGACAACTTTGAGAATATATTTGTAAATACACTCTACACAACATTCCAGTTTAAGTAAGAGGCTATCATGATATTCTTAATGAAGAATCAAGCATCATCAATTATTTTCTACATTAAATTTTCTTAAAATGTTCAAATCATAGAAATGATATACTGACATGAGAATAAAAGATAAGTTGGATAAATGAGAAATAAATAAAAGAACAGAAATAAAAATAGTAAATAGTGTGTTAACTATTTTGTCAAAATAGAAGCAATATATATTTTTTTACATCACTTTAAATTTTGCCTCTAAATCAAGCTTGAAGGTAATGATGCATACTTTTAAAGTCATATAATTTTTTTGAACTTTAATTCTCTTGACTAAACATTCAAAAGTTACACTCTTAACATAACTTTTTTCAGTACAATTACTACAAATATAATTCAATAAAATAGCTTTTAATTTATTTTACTTTTTTTCAAATTAAAAAGTATTATGAAACTAATAAACAAATCTAAAAGAACTAAGACATATATTACAAAGGTCATTTGCAACATTTTTTTATTCACCAGAAAGTAAAATGTTTTACAAAAATACTTTATTCAGTGTGTTTGTTCAATTTATGTTCACATCATGGCAACAAATGCACTTGTAGATTTTATTCTACTGTTATATGAAAAAGACTTATTCTGATACTACGTCTATCTACTTCTACTACTACCAGTTATAGTTATCTAATTATTAAATAACAATATCAGTATATAAAATATCAAAACTGACATATAATAGGTATAGAAAATGGGTGCAAAGAAGGAAGAAGGGTGGTTAAGACACTGCATGAGGAAGAAGAGTAGAAGATTGGGGTGCAAGAGGGAAAGGGGGGAGGAAAGGAGGGAAGAAAAGAAAAGAAGACAAAAGAGAAGATAGAGCAGCAACTGATTAAACCTTAACCACAGTCAGTTCTACATCATTTCCTTAGCTCACTACAGCAAGTACAATTGGCCTCTACACTTTGCAGCAACTATTACAATTACTATGAACCCTCGAAACAATTACAAGCAGCCAGCTGATGTAAAATATCATGATTTTCATAAGGCTCTTGTTCATCTTCCCACTCTACACGCTTGACAATTCTGAGTTTCCAGTTCTTTACTTTTATCCGCTTGCGAAGCACATAAATGCCCTGAGGGCTAACACCATGCCAAAAAGCAAGAGGTGCCAAATATGTCAAATCTGGGCAGTGTAGAATGAGGGACACTATTCCCTTCAAGCTTACAGCACATTCATTAATATGCAGCTTTTGTAGCTGTGTAAGACCACCGTGAACCAGTGCACTGATAATCAGGTCATCATTGATGCATTCAAAGGTCTCCTGATAAGGTTCCATTGCAAATGTGATGACTAGATCTGTTAGCACTGGTGCATGAGTCAGCAATGCAAATGTAACTTTAGAGGACTGCACAGTGACTTTGGCAACCCTTAGGAAGCGCCATTCTGCTACTTCTGCCTCATCCTCTCTGGTAAGTGTGGCCTCCAGGTGCTCCAAGTTTGGGGTAAGTTCAACTAGCCATGACAGGTCTAAACCACAATTGATATGGTCAACAAAAACAAGCTTTTTGAGGATCTGGCCACTGCCTAAGAGGTAGTTGTAGATATCAATGACATAGTTTCGGAAGCAGAGTTTGAGGGTCAGAGCTGAAATGGAACTGATGATGTATAAGGAGTCAAGTGAAGAGCCATCACATGTGAGGCAAGTGAGGTTCGGACACATCATGTTCAAGAGCGATGCTTGATAAGGAAGAATTTTTGCCTCCCATAACTCACTCAGCTTTAAAACCCTGCTCTCATCTTCTGGATTTAGATGTTCTAGGATACTGCTTATAGGGCCAGCTTGGATAGGACCTCCAAGTGACTTAAGCTTGGGGACACAGTGAAGAAGGACAAAAACACTTGTTAAACTCACACTAGTTGCACTAACACCAACCACCTTGAGATTTGATGCACAAGGATTTGTCTGGATATCTTGGAGGCAGAGGGTATCTTCATTCTGTCCTGCAAGCTCTGGATCTTTCAGCAGAAGACCGGCAATTGCTTCATCATTTATTCTTAAAGATTCATTGACATTGAGGTATTCAAGGTGAATACAATTTGTGCCCAGACTCTCCAGCAATGTCCCATCTGCCACACCAATCAATGTAACCCATCGCAAGTTTTTCATTTGGCTGAAGACACGGTAAAGAGAAGAATTAACATCTAAAAGATATTTCTGATCACTCAATTTCCTCAGATTACAGGCCACCCCAAGCTTGGTTAGGTTTATCATTAAGCTAATGGTGAGAGTACGGTAAAATTGCCACAGTGCATCAATATACACACTGCCAACCTGACTGAAGTCAAGGGTTTGGGTACTACGGTCCCCTAGCATCTCAAGAAGAATACATTTACAAGTAAAATTTTGCTTGTGCAAGGATTGTTGAAAGATAATGTTGATTAGATGTTGCCGAATGTTTGAATTCAAGGTTGAAGAAACATAATTGTGTTGTTCTTTACGCTCCTTGGGTGTTGCACTGATGCTACAACTCTTGTAGAGTAAGATCAACACTTGTTCAGTGCATATTTCTGATAGAGAGAGTAATATTTTATAGGGGGGCATAATTATTTCTTCTGTATTTCACTAAATGAAGAATTTCAGTGTGATAAAAAATGAAATTTTCAGTTTCTGCTTGTACAATATACATTCAGCTTTGACCCATTTTATCACGCCTACTGAACACAATGATGTCGCTGAGTCTGTAAGAAAAGAGAACTTTCAGTAAGCTTTCTTTTGAAACATAAAACTGACTGGTATAAAAAGGAATAAGCACACTACTGTTAAAACTAAACATACAGTTATAGCCCACAAAAGTGACACAATATCCCCAGGAATGGGAAAACTTGATTTTTCTTCAGGCCTGCAACCATTTCAGAAAATGCATAAGAAAGGTTAAAAAGTTAAGAGATTGTTAATACTGCATTTGTTGCCATCTAGAGTGTCAATTCTTTTTTCTCTCTTTTTTTAATCTTTCTTTTCTCCATAGATAACACTTGTATACTAAGTCTTGGGCCTTATGATCTGTGTCGTCTGTATTTTTCCGGTGACCTTTACATATCTTAATGCAATCCTGTGGCAAATGACCAACAAAAAGAACAAAGTAAAGACTTACTCCAAATATCTGGATGCTTAAGTTAGCATCATAACCATTTGACAAAATTACTGATATAAGCAAACAGATCAAGTACAAGTCGTTGTAAGAGCAGACTCATCATTATCATGAGAAACACCTGATGACCTTTGACCATTTTCCCAGTCTACACGTAAAACAAATCTAAAACACCTATTATTTTCTTTCATTCTTTGATGGAGAATATGAAGATCTTCATGAGAAACACCATTCCAAAAAGCAAGAGGTGCCAGATACATTAGATCTGGGCAGTTCAAGATAAGGCAGTCTATTCCCTTCATACTAATGGCACATCTATTTATCTTCAACTTCTGTAGGTTCTGTAGACTGCCAGAGGCAACTGCATTAGTGATCAAGGTATCATTGATGTCTTCAAATGTGTCCAGACCAGACCATGTTTCAAAGGTGACATCGAGATCCTTCAGTCTGGGAGCATGTGTCATCAAGGCAAATAGGGGCTTTGAGGACTCCAAGGTTATTTTAGCAGTTGTCAGGAGAGGCCACTGTGACATATTTCTCCCTTCTTCTTTCATTATGGTAGCCTCTAGATGTTCTAGGTTTGGAGTGAGTTCGACAAGCCATGAGAGGTCCAGACAGCAATTAATATGGTCTACAAGAACAAGCTCTCTCAGATTTACACCAGAGACTAAAAGGTAATTGTAGATTTCAATACTGGCATTTTGGAAGTAAAGCTTAAGGGTAAGGGATGAGACAGAACTAAGAAGATGCAAGGCAAAAAGGGAAGAGGCATCAGTGGAGAGAAAAGTTAGGTGAGGGCACACTTTGTCTATGAATAAGGCTTGGTTGGGTAGGATTCTTGTGTCCCACAGTTTTTGTAGGTTGAAGGATCTGTGGCCATCTTCTGGTTGCAGGCTCTCCATTATGTTGCATAAAGAGCCTACATTCACATCTCCTTCAAAGGATTCAAGGTATGGGACACAGTGTAAGATGGTGAGAGCACTTCTCATGCTCACCTCTGTTCCATTAAGGCTTATCACCTTCAGACAGGAGGCACAAGGATTTGTTGGTATGTCTTGATCAAAGTCTTTAATGCTTTGGAAGGCCACATTCTCTGAGTCTCTCAGGAGAAGTTTAGCCACTGCTTCATCATTCACTCTGTGGGATTCATCAACAAATAGGTACTCAAGGTGTGGACAATTCATTCCTAGTGCTGTTAAGAATGTCTTATCAGCCACTCCTACTAGCCTGACCCAGCGGAGATTTGTCATCTTCTTAAAAACAGGGTAGAAAGAGGCATTCACTTCCATCAGGCATTTCTTGTCTGCCATAGTCCTAAGGTTACAGTTTATTCCCAGTCTTGTAAGGTTTGTTACCTGAACTTGAGTAAGGATCCTGTACAGGTAGTTTACCTCGTAAATATAGGCAGCACCTGCACAGCTAAAGTCAACACTCCGTGTATTTTGGTCTCCTAGTAACAGCAGGATCAAGCATTTGTATATCAAGTTCCTTTCATACAAAGGCTGTCTGAAGGTAAGGAAGAGAAGATGTTGTCGGATGTTAGAGCTGAGGGCAGAGGTAAGGTAAAGCCTCTGATGCTTGCGCTGTTGATGTGATCCGCATACCTTAACAATACTAGAAATCCACTCTAAAGTCCACTCAATGCATATATCTTTTAGTGGGGACAGTGGCTTATGTGGTGGCATTGTTATTAACTTCTGTTCAGACAATTCAAAATTCATATCATATATTTCCTCATCTGAATAACAATCGTATGTAGTTTAACCCTCATGTATGTACAGAGGACAGGGTGATGCAGAGGAGTCTGTAAGAGAAAAGGATTTTCTGTATTCTTCTCTCTTGCAGAAGCATCATGCATTACAGATTTCATTCTAAGTATTAATAAAGTCATTTGATATTTAATCTACATAAGAATCAGTGCAGCATATAATGACTACATTCTTAGGTAGCACATTGACAATCCACCCAAAGCAGGCTACTATACTGTATAAGCAATAATATTTCAGTTGCAATCTGATTGTGTGACTTCACCCTATAGAAGGGAGAATGGTTAGGTTATTCAACAGAAGCAAATAACAATACAAACACAGCATCACACTAAAAAATCAGCAAATTGTCTCTTTCTATAAGCACTATTGGCAGCACAGCATCATTAAGCATGTTAATATATAGGCTGTTCACTGTACAGATTCTGAATAACAATTATCACAATGTTAGTGATATTTAGTGTTGCATCAGCTCCTAGACTCATTAACTCATCATGAATAAATTTTAATATCTAACCTATCAGTGTCTATGTTTGTAAACACATGTTTTATGGTGTCAGAAATATGATTCATATCTATAGAATAAACCCTTGGCATTTTCTTAACATATCCATTTTCATAGTTCAAAAACTTTTTTATATACTAAAACAAGACTGACAATTTTTCTGTAATTTGCTGTACTTTGAGCAGAGTGAGGCGAGTATAAATGGAAGATTTTACAGTATTGTACAACACAAAAATATTAGGTGTCTTTAATTATAATAGTCTTTCCCTCACAAAGTACATGGGGTAGGATGTTAGTAGAAATCGAGTTTAAATTTTACAGTATATGTGAAAATGCCTGGTTTTCCTCTATGTAATACAGATGTGTCTGGGGAATGGAAACTGAAAAAAGTTGCAACTCTCAGAGATTATGAAAAATATATCATTTGAGAAATAGAAAGATTAGCATTTCCTTTTGAAGTTCTTGATATCTGATTTATGAAAAGAAAATAATCAAATACGAAATGCTCACAAAATCATGTTCACATATATGCAACTTTTATGTGGTTTGGGTTCTTGGTGGTGGTGTGATGAAACAACTTTCTATTCTGTATTTTCAATTTATTTGTCATAAAAATATATATTCTGTGATACAAACAGATGAAAAGCATCTTTTTGTCCTGGAACAAATTAACATAAAGAGTCTCCTACTCACCAAAATGGAGGATAACTAAACAAATTTTCAGCAAGAGTGGCAGTACCTATATCAGGAAGCATTTTAAAAGCAGAATAAAAAAAAATTTAGTTTCCATTTTTTTTCCTCTCTTTTTTCTTTTTGTTAAGAAAAAATATTAATACAATATTGTGAACAATTCACACAAAAAGCAATAAGCACTGGTCTTTTAACCATTAAAAGACATGCATACTGTAATTACTCATGGTCTGGTAGGACTCAATGCATATTGTATCTAACGTCCACTGAATACGAGAAAATGAGTATGATGTTTTCAGTGTTGATGTCCTGTAAGTATTACTGTTGATGTCCTTTAAGGATTAATGCAGTGAAAACAAAATTTTGTTATTATAAACTATAATATTCAACTTTTGGGGTATTCATTAATAACTGAATATGCCTAGAAAAGGTGAAAAAAGAAACCTTAGAAGTTTGAAATAATGTTGTAAAATCATTCAGTTTTTCCTGATTCAAACAAAGGTAAAGTACACCCGGTGTAAATAAGGATATAGGATTAGGAAGGGTTAGTTATCAGTCAATTACCATTTACTCTTTATAACAGTGACATCCTAGAAACAGTTAAGTGCATTTGTGATTCCTTGCTGATGACACTCAAGGTATCCAATATAGTAAAAAAGCAAGAAGACTGTCTTCAGTTCCTGTCTAAATACATGGAATAATAAGTGCCGGCTTAGTTCAACATTCCAAAGTGTAAAACTATTAGAATCAGTATGATGTTAATGGCTCTGCACTGAGAAACCAGAAGCAGAAAAAGCCCATAGAATATGGCCTTGTTTCCATAGCTGTAAATATACCAATGACTGTTTCTAGGCCATAAGAAAAGCACTCTTAAATGCTGATAAAGAGGCTTTCTATATCACTTCATGTATGTCAACCCCACTGGAATACTACATACTGGTATGGAATCCTTTTTATATAGAGATATCACAAGAGAATGTCTAGAAAAGAACCACAAAAATGCTTTCACAAATTCAAAAAAGAATCCCCCCAAAAATCTATTTGATGTCATTAGAGAAGTAAAGGCAGAGGGAAATTGATTTAGTAACTTGAAAGCATCACCAGATACAAAATACAGACTGTAATCAGTTCTTCATACTTGGTAAAATAAAATGAGAGAGCACAAATATAAATCATTTAGACCAAAAGCAATATTTCTCATCAGCTACTTTAACCAAGGAATCCTACAGACAACTGAAATAGCTTGCCAGAAGTAGTCATTTCTTTTAACACATTAACAAAGGCAAAAACAAATTCTAGAGTCAAGGAAGGATGGGCATACATTAGTGCATGCTACTCCATGAGTAAAGTGCACAAGAATATGGACACTGACTCATGACTTGATGAGCCTTCACCCATGTCTACAGATATTTATTATGACATCATCTGTTGCCAGTGGGTTACCCCAATAACATGTAAAATTTCAGGTAATGACAAGCAAGAAAAGCATACATTAATGCATACTGCTATGAGCCTCAGAGTTTGTCAGGCTCACAGAAGAGCACATAAGACATCACCTTGGGAATCAGGACTCATGACGTGATGAGACATCACCTCATGTCTGTAATTAATCATTATGATGGATGGCATATCACCCATGGCCAATGGCTTAACCCATTAATACCAGTATATTTTGAAGCCGAAAATAAAAGATTCCGGCCAGTTACAAAATCGGCAGGTGGGGCTGCCCGGACTCCACCTGCCCGCCAGCTGCAGCCTGATGCTGCATCGGAGCATGAGCCCCGATACAGCGTCACACTGGCTGGACGCCTGGCAATGTTTATTTTTTCAGGTGTCTCATATGTGGGACACCCGTCGTTAGTGGGTTAAAGGCAAGTTTGAGCAACAGGATTCAATGGTTTATCTTATGAAGAGAGAGAATTCCAAACTGCAATACTTTAATTAATGAAGATAAAGAGATGTAATCAGAATGTAAAAGGTTATAGCATATATTTAGTCTGACTGAAAAATCTTGGTAAAAATTAAAATTTCCCTTTCCTAATCAGTATCACAGAGAACAATGTACTTACTAAGTTTCTTTGAAATCATTCTTTGACAAAAATAAAACCTGCACACACCGAAGATGAATGAATCATATTGATGAACTTTGGGCAACAGAGATCATCTCCTATATATGTGATAACATGGTGTCTAAAAATAGGAAAAACTGATTAGAAAGACTATTAGAAGAACTGATTAGGAAGACTATTTGCATGGTGACATCCTCCATCACTTTTGTACAACATCTCAAAAATCAAATCAACCCAATCCATTATCTGACTTTCAAAAAAATACTGTATGGCTTCTATTTTGTTTTCACTGCTATCACTGGAAATTCAGTTAATTGGCTCAGCTTCATAAGTAGGCTTCATAACAAAAAATAGCATTTGATCTGCTGAATAACTATACCTTAAGGTATTCTGTTGAACCAAATAAAAAAGTTATTACTTTCATTCTATGCCTAAAGCAACTATAAAGCAGAATATGTCATGAATCTCAATGTTCTAAAAGATAAAACTATTGTAATATCTAAGGAATGACTAATCAAGAAAACTACATATATCTATTCCTCTCTTACAACTACATCATATGGTACACATATACAAAAAATTGTAACGAAGTCTATGAACTATAAAATATAATGAAGACATCAAATATAACACAGAAATTGTAAGACAAAATATTTCAGTCTTTATCTAATTTGAATACATATATCTAAATATGTTTAATCAGATTTATTGTTGATTTTTTTTAAATGTATTATTTTTTCTATTACTTTTACCTTTTATTGAAGCTCAAACTAACTCTTGAAACTACTACTCTTGTGTAACAATGTCTTCAGTTTCTTGTAAAAACAGAAATGAATTAACTGCTTTCACAGTCAAGCATGAAACCTGAAAGGATCACGGCAATGTTAAAAATCCATGAACCATCACATTTTATAAGCAAAACATTACATTTGCGTATTCTTGTTCGTTTCATCTATTGCATCAAACTCTAATCTGAAGGCACTAATAACAAACAAACAAAGAAACATCTTGCCATTGCAGACTATAAAATCGATTCTATGATATAAAATGATACAGAAACGCAACAGTTCTTTGGAAGTCCATCAAACCTTGTCTTTCGACTTGGGTAACTCCTTGAAATCATCCCTCGCCTACGCTACAGCGCCTCGCTCCTTCACTCCACGAACCTATTAACCTCTGTTCGATCTTGTAGTAAAAGGCTTCTACGTATCCGCATTCTCGACCACCTGCCAGAAAAGCCCAATATAGCATCAGTAACGACGTGTACCAAGTGTACCGGCTTCCCTAAAACCGTGCCAACTGCCAACACTACCAAGGAAAGGGCTTATGAAGGTCGTCTGTTTGTTTACATTGGTCAGCTGTTTTGTAGTCAGTTGTATTCACTTTTTCATGGGAAAAGAATATTACGTATTTAAATATTACAATGCACTTTAATGTCAAAATTTGTAATATTCATTATTCTTATAATATATGTATATATGTAGGTATATATATTTATATATAGCTACTTGTTCGGTGTAAACAGTTGCCATGGCAACGGCATCAAGCATCATGGCAGATGAAGAAGGTAAACAATGTGCTCTTATTTACTGCTTACCTTTTTTGTATACAAATTGTATTGGGGTCTTAATAAGTCCGTTTTTAATGCACAGATGACCAAATTTTCAAAAGTTCTCATTGAGTAACTACTTCACAATGTAGATAAACAATATCATTAAACCTAAAAGTTCATTCACAACTCATCGGACTTTGGTTCAAATTTTCCGTATGACTGATTGCTGTATTTTTGTAGTTCCTTTATAAGTTTATAAGTTTCTTTCTTATAGAAAATTTAATCCTTGAACAGATGCCGAATATTAATCCATCGTGGTTTGGTCT